TCACTACCAGAGGTGGTGTAGCCAGGGCTGTGTAAACAAAATTATTTAACTCCTAAATGGCAGAAAATTGAGAAGTGAGAATGCTGGGGCATGATCTATACACCAAAACTGCTTCATTAAGCTAAAGTTGTTTTATTGATTAGAGTGTCTTTTTAAGAAGTGAAGCTTTCAAATAAAACCAAGTCCTGGTTGGGGAAAGGACACTTAATTTGAGCTTCTCACTAGAAGGGTGGGACAGGAGCAATCTATGAGGGGCTGCGACACCTGCAACCGCGGTATGTACGCCAGTGCATGCAGATACACATACACTTAAAGGACCACTACAGACACCCAGATCACATCAGCTCAATGAAGTGGTCTGGGTGCCAGGTCCCTCTAGTGTTAACCCTGCAGCTGAAAACATAGCAGTTTCAGAGAAACACCACTGCTCAGACTTGTATGTAAAATGTACACTGGAAACATAATTGCCTCTAATTAGAATAAGATTGTGACGCTCCTTAGATTATGGAAACCTCTCTTACTTCTGGGAAGGTACATTTATATGAAAACCACTTAGTGGACATTATCGGTCCCCAGGTATCTCAAAACGAGGACGCATTCTGCTTATACAGATCTATGTAAATTAGGCATATGCTTTGCAATATAACCTGTTTATCATTATCATTTATTTATTAACTCCAACCGTGAGGTGGAAAAAAAAGAGGATTGCTATAAAAAAAGATTGTTTGATGGTTAGCCACAAAATGTTATTCACGGATTAATTGAGCAGTGACCATTAGAGGGACAAAAAGGAGAAACTGCAAATATCTATACATTTCCCAACAGGATTCTTCCAAACACTGCAGCTAGACTGCAGCTATTGAGTTAGACAGGCCAACAGCGAGTGTGTGTTTTAGCATTACTGTGCATATAGGGTAGATAGCCTGTGTCATTGATCTTAGTCTGAGACTAGTACGGTTACTGCTGTGACTAGCCACTGCCATTAACACCACCTCTGATTTTGAATTATTTGTATTTTTTTGTATTTATCTGAGAGACAGATTATTTGATTTTCAGGGTGCATCAGTATCATTGGTTGTACTTTTCAAATGTCAATACAGTATGTGGCAGTTTACTGCACAAGTGAACCCTGAATGCACTGAGGTTTTACTTAATTTTTTTTTCATTCCAAAAAACGATTTTTTTCCGAGTGTTCAGTCAGTGTGCCGCAGCAGCAATAGTAGTGCTGCAGTCAGGGTAGAGCATCATTGAAGATAAAATCTATTTTTATTTGTTGTAAGAGACAAATAGATTTGATTTGTGGTTGCACTGTGCTTCAGTGCCACTGTTTGTACATTGTTGGTCTATTTTTTTGACTTTTTTTGGAAGCGAATTCCCTTTAATTTCTCTGTTCAGTCTGGTCTGCTGCAGCAGCAATAGTGGTGTCACAGGCAAGGGACAGCATCACTAAAGAATTTGTTTAAAAAAAAATGTTTTCTTTAACTTTGTGCAGCATAGTGTTTAATCTTAAAGTCAACCACAATAACATTACAGCAGTAGTAAAATCACTAAGCAGCAACCCGTTATTCAACACAGACATCTATTTGTTAGTTTACCCAATACACATTCATATAGTCATTTATATTACTAACAAAAACAGAACCATGATCAATGGTATGCCCTAATCTGTGGAGGAAACTTGGGGATGGTAGAGGTCATGTTCCCAATACCATTAGCAGTAGTGCCATGGCCTCTCAATGTCTCAACACCTCTTCCTTGTTGTCAAAACAGCAGGCTAGTATATGCTAGTATTGAAAGAGGAGCTAAATAAGGCTGTAGGTCAGTGACTGCACTTCACCATAGATTTATAGAGTGTTCCAACTGGCCAGCAGGCCTTCCTCTCCTTGATGACACACAGGTAAATATTGAGCCTTGCAGGTTACCAATCAGATATGGCTCAAGATTTACCTGTCAGAGCACTCTAATTGGTTGGCTTAAGCAAACCAATCAAAGCGCACTGAGTCAAACTGCAGGGCATTAGAAGGCTTTATAAGCCTTTCCCTGCCCTGCGGAGCTCAGTCTGAGCAGAGCGCTCGTTGGCTGAAGATGCCTCCACTACACACACACTGCATCCATTACACACACTGCATCTACTACACACACACACACACACACACACACACTGCAATCACTTTACACACTCTGCATCCTCTACACAAACACATACACTGCATCTGCTACACAAACACACTGCATGGATGGACTCTGGGGCCCAGACCCCGAGCTGTGTCACGGTCCCCAAAATGTCAGAATGCAACCCTGGTGTTTGTTTTTTTCCACCATAAAATAGGGCTAACTACCACTGTGATCTGTAGGGATCCTATGAGGCTGTTTTCTCGATTTCTTTATAATTTATTTCAGGGGGACCCAATAGGTAGATCCCCAGATGATGTAGGACTACAACTCCTATAATGCTTTGCATGCCTTTAGAATGACAAAGCATCATGGAAGCTGTAGTTTTAAAACATCTAGGGATCTACGTTTTTGGCTCCCCTGATTTATTTAATGCAATACCATTTTATAATATGACCTTAGTTTAAATAAAAGTGAGGGTTTCCTTGTTTTACTAACTGTTCTCCCTACTATAGGTCTCTTTATCTTTTAGGAGTCCCTGTCTTATAATGTATTATTGAGATTGTGCTGCAGATCTGCCTCTGACTTCGCAGTGCTTTTTCTGATGTAAATAGGAATTAATGCTACATGTATTAGGTATATTCATTTATTCATTTATTTATAAAATATTTTACCAGGAAGGATACCTTGAGATGTATCTCATTTCAAGTATGTCTTAGGGCCCACAAACAATACATTGTTACAACAGGGTACAATATATAATAAAATTACAAAATAATATTAAAATACACATACATAAATTTAACACAGAACAGGCAAGAAATATAATCAGCCACGATTACAGGTGCATTCTATATTGAGATATATTGACAGGGATCTTTTAACGGATTCTGGGCTGGAGGAAAATGTGATCGTGCCCGTGAAGTTATTCCATAACTGCAGTGCTCTGTAGGAAAATGAGGATCGAGACCCTTTATTTTGTATTGAGGTGGACTAAATAAAATGCTGGTACTGGATATTTAACAACATATACACTCCCATGTTAATTAAAACACCATAACAACATTTCAAGATAGATTCTCTCTAGCCATAGCAGAAGCCATTTCAATCCTCCAGATTAAAATAATTAATTTACCAATGATAAAATTATTAAAATCAAGATGAGACATAAATGTGAATTAAAGTTCCTCTCACTATAGTAACCCTTTAACATAAAAGCATGTTATAAGTCATAAAGTGCTTAATTCACCAATCACACCACACTAGCTGGCTGACATAATTTCTATTTTTACCCAATTTAACACAGCAATAGATACTTTCATGGAAATAAAAGAAGCGTGGCACATGGAGAACTACATAAATGCTCCCATGTTTCACTGAACCGGAGAGCAATAAACCTTTTCTCCGTAAAACCCAGTTCTGGTAGAAGGACCAGCAGTGGGAGGTTTGCTTTTATTGGCAGCAGAGTCTAATCATTGTTTTTCATCTTTTCACATGTAACTAATGTTTTCTGTCTCTTTTTTTGAATGTATTAACTGTCAATCACAACTCCCTAAATTGGATCTACTGAGAATGTTGTATTGCGTCCTCGTTTTTCACTAACTTTCATAAGTCAATCAAGATAGAACAATGATTATTTGCTTGTTAAGATTGTAAATGTATAACCTTCTTCATACTGTGTACAGCAAGCAGGTCAAACTGAAAGTCTGGCACGGGCCACATAAACAAAAGTTTAAATTTATGTGGGCCGCAATAAAAAAAAACCTTACATTTTCACAGAAACGTAGGTTTATTTTAAAAAGTATAAAAAAAAACCTCAGCTTCCCCCTCTACTAAACCACAACACCCCCTTTTACTAAATCCCAGTCCCCCCCTCTACTAAACCACAGCACCCCCTCTACCACCCTGTGCCAAATGTGATCCTCCCGCTACTTCTTGAAACCCTGTGAATGTGGAAACCGTTGATGTCATGTGGCATTGCGTGCCTCCATGCACCTCCAGGTACTCCACTGTCCAGTCACAGCCAATGCAACATTGACCAACACACACACACTCGCTCACTGATAGACACACACACTCACTCACAGACAGACACACACGCATACTCACTGACAGACACACACACAGACCCACACACATATCACTGACAGACACACACATACAGACACACTGAAAGACACACACACACTGACAGACACACACACACACTCACTGACAGACAGACACACATACTCACTGACATACAGACACACACTCACTGACACACACACATACTCACTGAAAGACGCATACACATTACACAGACAAACACACACACACACACATACTAACTGACAGACACACACACACACACACAGACAGGCACACACATTCTAACTGACAGACACACACACATACTCACCGACAGACAGACACACACACACTCACAGACAGACACACACATACTGACAGACACATACACACTGACACAAACACACACACTGACACAAACACACACACTGACAGACACACATACACACACGCATTTACATTCTTGCACTCACATCATTTAATTTATTGTTCCCTACCTTTGGGAGCTGGTGTGGGCCCCCTTTTCTCTGGAGATCTCCTTCCTGCTCCTTAATGCTCCCTCGCGCGGTTTAGTGGTGCCGGAGTATGACATCATATTCCCGCGCCCGGCATCACTACAGACAGCGCAAACCACCATCTCTTCCTCCCCGGTCGGGTAAGTTTTAGCAGAGTAGGCACCTGCAATGTGGGGAAAGCAGATGCCTACTCTGCTATAACACCAGCATGTACTCACGGCTTGCCGGGCCGCAAAGATGGTCCTTGTGGGCAGCAAGTTTGGCATGCCTGGTGTACAGCATCAATATAAAACCACATATACTCTCCAATTTTAATTAAAAACACCATAACAACTATTCAAGGTGGCTGTTCTGTATCATATCAGAAGCCATTTCACGCCTCCAGATCAAAACAATTAATTTACTAATTATTAATTTAAACAAATCAACACGAGACATAAATATGAATTAATGTTACATTTATTAGGTATATTTAACAGCATTAATATCAATTTGCACTTTAAGGACTTAGGTGTCAAGCTCTATCTCGGGATGTTCTATATTAATACAAATTTGTCCAGGAGACAGCCAAGATGTGGGCGACCTCTGGACTCACGAAGAGTCATCCTTCAGCACTCAGGAAAGGAAAAACCTCCTGTGGAGGAAACCTCTGGGGAACCATGGCTGGAAGGATTGCCCTTCCCTCTGGGCATTAAGAGGCAAATACAGAGAATTCAATAGATGTAGATGATATAGACAGACAGATAGATAGATAGATAGATAGATAGACAGACAGATACAGACAGATAGATAGATAGATAGATAGACAGATTACTAAAGCAGATTAAACAGAGATTGATACATACCGATACCTGGAAAAAAGTTGCTCATTAAGTAATCCCTTCCCTGCCCTATCTGCAATCCGCCCAACTCAGCATGTGCAATACATAAAACCCTTGTAGAAGCACCAATATTTGATAATGGGTATATGAGTAGCTGCACGGAATACAACGCCCCCTGCTAGAACCTCCATCGCTAAGAGTAGATTGAGGGTAGTCAAGCTCCAAGTCTTCAGACACATCCAGGCAGAGATCTCAAAGCCATTGGGAAGGTACGAGAACCATGAATATAGGTGAAGCTCTGTCAGGGTCTCAGTTATAAATGGGAAGAAATAGAATGTTCAAGCAGTTACAGCAGCAATTATGTTTATGACATCACAGCATGACATCACCTATTATGATCTCACTGCTAATGATCACAGCTCCTGGGGTGAAGGTTATTTGTTTTTAAAAAAGGGGACTATGATAAACATGTAAAAGGAGTCTTTACAATCAATATAAAAGTAAACTTTGTAATCCCCTTTCCTTTCTGTCCCTCGTAGAGAGACTATTTTATATTAGTATATTTGCTATCTATTTCCATCCTAGTATTCACTGTATTCAGTTATCATACGGAACCTGCTTTCATTTTACACTCTCAACCCCCCTAAAGTAATTTGCACATTTTATTCCCCCTATTATTAGTTCTCAAATTATTATATTTTGAAATTCATAGTTAGTTAAGCAAATTGCAAAAGTTACACAATAGCTATTTTTATAATACAGTTGTTAATTAAAGGGACACTATACAGGGAGTGCAGAATTATTAGGCAAGTTGTATTTTTGAGGATTAATTTTATTATTGAACAACAACCATGTTCTCAATGAACCCAAAAAACTCATTAATATCAAAGCTGAATATTTTTGGAAGTAGTTTTTAGTTTGTTTTTAGTTTTAGCTATGTTAGGGGGATATCTGTGTGTGCAGGTGACTATTACTGTGCATAATTATTAGGCAACTTAACAAAAAACAAATATATACCCATTTCAATTATTTATTATTACCAGTGAAACCAATATAACATCTCAACATTCACAAATATACATTTCTGACATTCAAAAACAAAACAAAAACAAATCAGTGACCAATATAGCCACCTTTCTTTGCAAGGACACTCAAAAGCCTGCCATCCATGGATTCTGTCAGTGTTTTGATCTGTTCACCATCAACATTGCGTGCAGCAGCAACCACAGCCTCCCAGACAATGTTCAGAGAGGTGTACTGTTTTCCCTCCTTGTAAATCTCACATTTGATGATGGACCACAGGTTCTCAATGGGGTTCAGATCAGGTGAACAAGGAGGCCATGTCATTAGATTTTCTTCTTTTATACCCTTTCTTGCCAGCCACGCTGTGGAGTACTTGGACGCGTGTGATGGAGCATTGTCCTGCATGAAAATCATGTTTTTCTTGAAGGATGCAGACTTCTTCCTGTACCACTGCTTGAAGAAGGTGTCTTCCAGAACTGGCAGTAGGACTGGGAGTTGAGCTTGACTCCATCCTCAACCCGAAAAGGCCCCACAAGCTCATCTTTGATGATACCAGCCCAAACCAGTACTCCACCTCCACCTTGCTGGCGTCTGAGTCGGACTGGAGCTCTCTGCCCTTTACCAATCCAGCCACGGGCCCATCCATCTGGCCCATCAAGACTCACTCTCATTTCATCAGTCCATAAAACCTTAGAAAAATCAGTCTTGAGATATTTCTTGGCCCAGTCTTGACGTTTCAGCTTGTGTGTCTTGTTCAGTGGTGGTCGTCTTTCAGCCTTTCTTACCTTGGCCATGTCTCTGAGTATTGCACACCTTGTGCTTTTGGGCACTCCAGTGATGTTGCAGCTCTGAAATATGGCCAAACTGGTGGCAAGTGGCATCGTGGCAGCTGCACGCTTGACTTTTCTCAGTTCATGGGCAGTTATTTTGCACCTTGGTTTTTCCACACGCTTCTTGCGACCCTGTTGACTATTTTGAATGAAACGCTTGATTGTTCGATGATCACGCTTCAGAAGCTTTGCAATTTTAAGAGTGCTGCATCCCTCTGCAAGATATCTCACTATTTTTGACTTTTCTGAGCCTGTCAAGTCCTTCTTTTGACCCATTTTGCCAAAGGAAAGGAAGTTGCCTAATAATTATGCACACCTGATATAGGGTGTTGATGTCATTAGACCACACCCCTTCTCATTACAGAGATGCACATCACCTAATATGCTTAATTGGTAGTAGGCTTTCGAGCCTATACAGCTTGGAGTAAGACAACATGCATAAAGAGGATGATGTGGTCAAAATACTAATTTGCCTAATAATTCTGCACTCCCTGTAGAGTCTGGAACACAAACATGTATTGGCTATTTTGAACATATGGGTTGCTGTGGCAGGGCCTGTGATTAGTGTATGGGTGCTGGAGGGCTATGATTAGACCTAGACTGGCCATCGGGCAAACTAGGCAAAAGCCCAGTGGGCTGCTAAGGCCATGGGCCGAGGCCACTGGCGTACATACCAGGGTCGCAGGGGTCGCGACTGCGACCGGGCCCGGCCCACCAGGGGGCCCGTTCGCCCCTGCGACCCGGTATGTATGCCCAGGGCCAGCCTCTTCCCGTGGGGGGCCCAGGAGCCGACCACCCCAGGGCCCCCCTGAGGCTGGCCCTGCTGACACCGGGTGGCCGGTGGGGCAGGCAGGCGGGCGCGCGAGGGAGCACTCAGTGCTTCCTCTTCAGCTCCCTCGAGCACCGCAATGATACCAGAGCCGGAAGATGACATCATCTTCCGGCGCCGGCATCCCTACGCGGTGCGCGAGGGAGCTGAAGAGGAAGCACTGAGTGCTCCCTCGCGCGCCCGCCTGCCTGCCCCACCGGCCACCCGCCCAGGAGCCCCACTGGACCCCAGGGAATAATCCCCCCCAGCACTCCAAGAGGTAAGGAGGCTGGGGGGATTATATTAAAAAAAAAAAAATCATGTGTGAGTGTTAGTGTGTGTGAGTGTGAGTGTTAGAGTGAGTGTTAGTGTGAGTGTTAGAGTGTTAGAGTGAGTGTTAGTGTGTGTTAGTGTGAGTGTTAGAGTGAGTGTTAGTGTGAGTGTTGGAGTGTTAGAGTGATTGTTAGTGTGTGTCTGCTAGTGAGTGTTAGTGTGAGTGTTAGTGTGTGTGTCTGCTAGTGAGTGTCAGTGAGTGTGTTAGTGTGTGTCTTAGTGAGTGTGTGTGTGTTAGTGAGTCTGTTTGATGTCTGTTAGTGAGTGTGTGTTTGTCAATGAGAGTGTATGTTTTGTAAGTGAGTGTGTATGTATTTCTGTCGCTGACTGTATCTCTGTCAGTAAATGTGTGTGTCTGTTAGCTAGTGTGTATGCGTCTGTAAGTGTGTGTGTGTGTCTTCAGCACTTACCTTTCTCCAGCGCCGGACTCCCTTGGCGCTGAGGATCCCTCAGCTCCGAATGCGACCGCGCACGCATTCAAACCGCCCATAGGAAAGCATTACTCAATGCTTTCCTATGGACGTTCAGTGTGCTCCTCTAGCGGCTGTCCGTGAGACAGCCACTAGAGGCTGGATTAACCTCAGTGAAACATAGCAGTTTCTCTGAAACTGCTATGTTTTCAGCTGCAGGGTTAAAACTAGAGGGACCTGACACCCAGACAACTTCATTGAGCTGATGTGATCTGGGTGTCTGTAGTGGTCCTTTAAAGGACTACTATAGTGCCAGGAAAACATACTCGTTTTCCTGGCACTATAGTGCCCTAAGGGTGCCCCCACCCTCAGGGACCCCCTCCCGCCCGGCTCTGGAAAGGGGAAAGGGGTAAAACTTACCTTTTTCCAGCGCTGGGCGGAGAGCTCTCCTCCTCCGATCCTCCTCTTCTCCTCCCCGCCGGCTGAATGCGCACGCGCGGCAAGAGCTGCGCGCGCATTCAGCCGGTCACATAGGAAAGCATTCATAATGCTTTCCTATGGACGCTGGCGTGCTCTCACTGTGAAAATCACAGTGAGAAGCACGCAAGCGCCTCTAGCGGCTGTCAATGGGACAGCCACTAGAGGGAATAGGGGAAGGCTTAACCCATTCATAAACACAGCAGTTTCTCTGAAACTGCTATGTTTATGAAAAAATGGGTTAACCCTAGCTCGACCTGGCACCCAGACCACTTCATTAAGCTGAAGTGGTCTGGGTGCCTAGAGTGGTCCTTTAAGTGTGTGTGTGCATCTGCATGCACTGGCGTACATACCGCGGTCGCAGGGGTCGCAGCCCTGTAACCCCTGCGACCAGGTGCCCACCGCCATGTGTTGCGGCCCGGCCCGCGCGGGGAGGGGGCCCACGGATCAATTTTCGCACCGGGGCCCCATGGGTCATGTGTACGCCACTGGCCGAGGCTGGCATGGAAGATCTCCATTGCAAGCCCATGCAGAGCAGCACCGGCCCTAAGGAGGATCTCTGTCTCTTCATGGGCCAGAGGGGAGATTAGATCACCAGGGAAGTAAGCCAAGCAGTCTCCGTCTCTCCCAATATTATCAGAGCGTTGCCATGATAACCCACGGCAACACTCTGAAACGCCAGTGTTTGCAAGGGGGAGAGACATGGTCCAACTAACCAGTCTACTGGATCATCAAACCAGGGATCATTATGTCCCCTCACCCCCTACAACGTAATTAGAGGGAGGGGGGGTAGATGTGTTGTTTTTTTTTAATTAATAAAAAATCATTAAATGATAGCATTTATTATTTAAGCCCCTATCCATCCCCTTGCACACAGCATTCCCTGCAGTTATTTACAAACACACTGCACACACTCTATACCCCTATATACACACTACAACCACTGCACATACACACACAAACACACTGCACACACTTTATACCCCTATATACATACTGCAGCCACTGCACTTACACACACACACACACACACACACACACACACTACACACACTCTATACCCCTATATATACACACTGCAACCACTGCACGTACACACACAAACACACTACACACACTCTATACCCCTATATATACACACTGCAACCACTGTACTTACACACACACACACACACACACACACTACACATACTCTATACCCCTATATATACACACTACAACCACTGCACATACACACACAAACACACTGCACACACTTTATACCCCTATATACATACTGCAACCACTGCACTTACACACACACACACTACACACACTCTATACCCCTATATACATACTGCAACCACTGCACTTACACACACACACACTACACACACTCTATACCCCTATATATACACACTGCAACCACTGCACTTACACACACACACACACACACTACACACACTCTGTACCCCTATATATACACACTGCAACCACTGCACGGACACACACAAACACACTACACACACTCTATACCCCTATATATACACACTGCAACCACTGTACTTACACACACACACACACACACACTACACATACTCTATACCCCTATATATACACACTGCAACCACTGCACTTACACACACACACACACTACACACACTCTGTACCCCTATATATACACACTGCAACCACTGCACTCACACACACACTACACACACTCTGTACCCCTATGTATACACACTGCAACCACTGTACTTACACACACACACTCTATACCCCTATATATACACACTGCAACCACTGCACTCACACACACACACACACACTACACACACTCTGTACCCCTATATATACACACTGCAACCACTGCACTTACACACACACTACACACACTCTGTACCCCTATGTATACACACTGCAACCACTGTACTTACACACACACACTCTATACCCCTATATATACACACTGCAACCACTGCACTTACACACACACACACACACACACACTACACACACTCTGTACCCCTATATATACACACTGCAACCACTGCACTTACACACACACACACACACACACACACACTACACACACTCTATACCCCTATATATACACACTGCAACCACTGCACTCCTCATACCACACACACACACACTACACACACTCTGTACCCCCTATATATACACACTGCAACCACTGCATTTACACACACACACTACACACACTCTATACCCCTATATATACACACTGCAACCACTGCACGTACACACACAAACACACTACACACACTCTATACCCCTATATATACACACTGCAACCACTGTACTTACACACACACACACACACACACACACTACACATACTCTATACCCCTATATATACACACTACAACCACTGCACATACACACACAAACACACTGCACACACTTTATACCCCTATATACATACTGCAACCACTGCACTTACACACACACACACTACACACACTCTATACCCCTATATACATACTGCAACCACTGCACTTACACACACACACACTACACACACTCTATACCCCTATATATACACACTGCAACCACTGCACTTACACACACACACACACACACTACACACACTCTGTACCCCTATATATACACACTGCAACCACTGCACGGACACACACAAACACACTACACACACTCTATACCCCTATATATACACACTGCAACCACTGTACTTACACACACACACACACACACACTACACATACTCTATACCCCTATATATACACACTGCAACCACTGCACTTACACACACACACACACTACACACACTCTGTACCCCTATATATACACACTGCAACCACTGCACTTACACACACACTACACACACTCTGTACCCCTATGTATACACACTGCAACCACTGTACTTACACACACACACTCTATACCCCTATATATACACACTGCAACCACTGCACTTACACACACACACACACACACTACACACACTCTGTACCCCTATATATACACACTGCAACCACTGCACTTACACACACACACACACACACACACACACACACACTACACACACTCTATACCCCTATATATACACACTGCAACCACTGCACTTACACACACACACACACACTACACACACTCTGTACCCCTATATATACACACTGCAACCACTGCACGTACACACACAAACACACTACACACACTCTATACCCCTATATATACACACACTGCAACCACTGTACTTACACACACACACACACACTACACACACTCTATACCCCTATATATACACACTGCAACCACTACACTTACACACACACAAACACACTACACCCTCTATACCCCTATATATACACACTGCAACCACTGCACTTACACACACACAAACACACTACATACCCCTATATACATACTGCAACCACTGCACTTACACACACAAACACACTACACACACTCTATACCCCTATATACATACTGCAACCACTGCACTTACACACACAAACACACTACACACACTCTATACCCCTATATACATACTGCAACCACTGCACTTACACACACAAACACACTACACACACTCTATACCCCTATATACACACTGCAACCACTGCACTCAAACACACAAACACACTACACACACTCTAAACCCCTATATCAACACTACAATCTTTGCACTCATGCACATACTACACACACTCTACTGCCCTATGTACACGCTACGTCCCCTGTACTGACACACAAAGACACTACAAACACTCTACTGCCCTATATACACAATACATCCCCTGTACTGACACACAATGCCAATACCAATGCCATACTCACCACCCATCACTCTGCCATATTCATCCAATTAAACTTACCTTCTCTAGCACTGTCCCACTCAACCCCACAATCCTGTCACACGCATTCTCCATCACTCTGTCACACTCACCCCCTTTCACCCTGCCACACTCACCCTATCTCATTAACCGTTCCAATTCTGACATATTGGTGGGTAGGGTTGTATGCTGAGCACATACAGACTGTGGTTGTGGTGCTACAGAAACTACACAGGACTGAGACATTATAGCAGCAAAGTTTATTAGGAATTAGCTATTATTTTGCACTGTTTGTATTTATTTGTATTTGTGTGATTATCGTAATTCAATATACACTGCCAGGCCAAAATAAAAGTCACCACCAAAAAAAAAAAAAAAATGTCACACACTCTAATATTTTGTTGGACCCCCTTTAGCTTTGATTACGGCGTGCATTCGCTGTGGCATTGTTTTGATAAGCTTCTGCAATGTCACAAGAGTTATTTCCGACCAGTGTTGCATTAATTTTTCACCAAGATCTTGTAATGATGATGGGAGAGTCGGACAACTGCGCAAAGCCTTTTCCAGCACATCCAAAAGATTCTCAATGGCGTTAAGGTCTGGACTCTGTGGTGGCCAATCCATGTGTGGAAATGATGTCTCATGCTCCCTGAACCATTCTTTCACAATTCAAGCACGATAAATCCTGGCATTGTCATCTTGGAATATGCCAGTGCTATTAGGAAAGAAAAAATCCATTGACCAACCTGGTCAACCAGAATATTCAGGTAGTCAGCTGACCTCATTCTTTGGGCACACAATGTTGCAGAACCTAGACCTGACCAACTGCAGCAACTCCAGATCATAGCACTGCCCCCACAGGCTTGTACAGTAGACACTATGCATGATGGGTGCATCACTTCATCTGCCTCTCTTCTTACCCTGATGCACCCATCACGCTGGAACAGGGTAAATCTGGACTCATCAGACCACTTCCATTGCTCCAGAGTCCAATCTTTATGCTCCCTAGCAAATTGAAGCCTTTTTTTCCGATTATCCTCACTGATTAGTGTTTTTCTTAAGGCTACACAGCTGTTCAGTCCCAATCCCTTGAGTTCCCTTCGCATTGTGTGTGTGGAACAATTAAACATAGCCCTGAGTTCTACTGTTGTTTTTCTACGATTTGATTTCACCAAACGTTTAAGTCATCGCCGATCACGATCAATCAGGATCTTTTTCCGACCATATTTCTTCCTCGAAGACGATGGTTCCCCACTATCCTTACAGTTTTTAAGAATGCGTTGGACAGTTCTTAAACCAATTTTAGTAGTTTCTGCAATCTCCTTAGATGTTTTCCCTGGTTGATGCATGCCAATGATTTGACCCTTCTCACACAGACTAACATCTTTTCCACGACCACGGGATGTGTCTTTCGACATGGTTGTTTAAGAAATGAGAAGCTACTCATTGCATCAGTTGAGGGTAAATAACTTGTTGCCAGCTGAAAGATAATCACCCATGCAGTAACTATCCAATAGGAGGCTCTTACCTATTTGCTTAGTTAAATCCAGGTGGTGACTTTTTTTGGGGGGCCAGGCAGTGTTTATCTGCACTGATTTATTTCATTCACCTGCCAGTTTGTATAAGCTGATAGGGCACAGCTTAGTTTCACAATGAAGAACAGTCACTCATGCTACAGACTTGATGTTTTGGAAAGCCTTATTCATTTTTGGGATGGGTGGGGAGACCGGGTCATCAAGTTAAAGCTAAGTTACTTAATATTTTTGTAATACAGATATAATAAAATTGTGTCAGCTCACCAGCCATATTAAAAAAATACATGATTTAGCATAGGCATTAGGCTAGGCCAGGGGTAGGCACCTTTTGGCACTCAAGATGTTTTGGACTCCCCAACCCATCATGCTTTGCCAGCATTATGGTTGTAAGAGTATTATGGGAGATTTATTCCACAAAATCTGGTGTGCCGAAGCTTTCCTACCCCTGGACTAGGAAACGTTTTAGCCGTGTTTGCATTGCAGCATTTTGGTTTGTCTAAATAGTTTTTCCCAAACTGATCGCATGGGTTTGAAATTCTTCTGAACAGGAAGCAACATTCTATTTTCAAACTGATTGACTCAAACTGGAACCAAATTTGTTTGCTGTGCACATGTCTAGCTGACTTCCGAATTATCGCCCAGAATGAAGGGAATGGTACAGGACTGGCCACAGATACATCCTGTACAAGATCAAACACACATTGTGTCTATTGATGCTGCAGTATTGATGCAGATACCCTAAGGAAATCAAGCAGCTGATTTGTGCTCATTGCTCTCTCGTCAGTTCTGGATATGGACCTTCCTATGGTCATAAATGCCATGATGAGCATAGTGCAGCACAAGATGTTTAAACATGAGCTTGTGTTACACGTCATCTCACTTGTCATGCTTTGTGCATCGCCACGATTACTGTCGGCACTCTATAGGCTGGTGGAATATATATATATCCTCACCAAACCAGGAACTGGTTCGGTCAATCCTGATGTTCCACTTGTTTTCAAAAGGAAACAGACACATCCCATAAACTCCGGCCCAGGAGACATGTAATTTCGGTGTTTGGTACCCATTCCTTCAGATAAAATAACAGCCGCACTGTGTTATGAAAGTAGCTGCAGCAGTGATTGCATCTCCACTTTCTTTTAACAAATTGCTCCAATTATAGGCAATTATGTGCAGTGCTGCAGTGACGGGGGCAGCACTGCAACGAGCGCAGGTTGTTATGGTGCTTGGAGTGTCCCTTTAAGTGACCGATAAATCCCAGTCTGCTTTCACATCCCGTCTGCACTTTGTGTTTTACGGACTAAAAATAAAGCCTTTGCCTATAAAGGGCTTTTACAAAATGCATAATGAATGACTGCCTCATTACTCTGTGGATTGCATTACACAGCAGTCTTAACACAGGGATTCACTCGGACAAGGCAGCCTGAGGAACAACGCTATCCCAGGCTTAGCAGCTGGAGCGAAAGGTAAGGAAAATACAGCACAGCTGATTAAATGGACTTTAACACTTCACATTAGATAGTAAATCATAACAAGCACAGTCTGCATTGATTTCTTTTTAAAAATGTAATGTTTTAATTTGCACTTATTTTAAGCATGTTTTACTGCAGAACCGGACGCTGCAGCAGTACTGTTACTAGATAATGCAGGCTATTATCAGCAATCACTAGGTTTGCCAGATTCAGCATGCTTTTCCTTATAATATCTTCATGAACGACAAGAGTTTACTTGCAGTATGTAGTATTCACATTTACCATGGGGTGGAGCTGCAGCACTGCATATTTTGTATTATATGAAAAAAATTACTTATTTTTAAAAAAGGTGAAGGACAGGGTCTTACACCAGCACCACTACAATAAGCTTTGATCCTTATAGTCTTAGAGTGTCCTTTTAAAGGAATACAAATCTGTATTCCTAATGGTACAGCTCTGATTCCCCCTGTGATTTAGGCCCTCCCCTCCCCCTTGTATAAAAGTTAAAAAAATAAAAAATAAATAAAATTAAAACGAATTACTTACCTTTTCTCCAGTGCCAATTCTCCCTTGGTTCTGCCACAACTTCCTCCTCGAATGATGTCATCCTGGAGACGTGCCTCCAGGATGACGACTAACCCAATGCTCCTCGTAGAAGAGTATTGGGCACCTTAGGCGCATGCGCAGTGCTCGCTGCGATTTGCCTAAGATTTTGCCATACAGAATTATTGAATACAATGTCTCTCTATGGCCGACCATGACGGTATTGTCCATGTGCACGTGATGTTACAGTACAAGAACCGGAAACCCAGAAGGTTTGGAGGTGTGGCTTGAAGCTGTGCTACCAATCCCTCTAATTAGCGTACTACAGGATTTTGGGGGGTAGGAGAGGAGTGCCTACAGTGTCCCATTAAGTGAGTTCAGTCCTTTCCTGGTTTGGGGACAGCTCATTGCACATCCTGCTTAGAATGAGGTTCTGCAGCAAGTAAAGGAACATAAAATGTTAATATTTTTAATCATAATTGTAATTTATTTTTGCATATACCTTTTAATACATTATTGATGTTATTTAATGTAATATTGGAACATTTTAATACTCTTGGTGATATCCATGGAGTCAGGGAGCATTTGCCCCCTGGGCCACTAGCATACAGCCTCACAACATTCTTTTTTCTAATTAAAAGATCAGGAGATGCAGTGGGATGTCTTTTGGCAGAGTACTGCAGAGATAAGGCTTCACAGTGTGAATACTGCAGTATCTGGAGCTGGTCCAGCGGCCAGAATATGACCAGTCGGTATGATGTCCCCGGTGATGAGACAGGGCTTCATAACACATGCCTGTACACATGTCATTGGTGACAATGGAATCACAGGAAAACTGTCAGAGTTATTCACTAAAATGTGAATTCAACGTGAATTTCAAACTTAAGACCAGGGTAGCCAAACTGAAAGTATAGCTAACTTAAATGAGAAATTTACTTTGAATTCTCACGTTAGTAAATAACACTCTTTGTCTCTTAGGCATACATAAATAGCTGTGAACGCTCTTTCACACTGCATAGTTCCTTGCAAGAATATAAGGTATCAACCTAACATCTCCATTGGCCTCCATATATTAATATATATATATATATATATCCATGTGAATTGCCTGTTCTACATGAGTAGACCATTCACACAGAGATCTATGAGTTTCATGCAGAGAAATAGTAAATTTTTTGTACAAACCTCAGTCCAAGAGTTATCAAACATGCACTGTGTATATCAATCTTTGGAGTCCCGACCAGCTTTTCTTGGTTGAGAACCTCAACCTTAACTCACAGTTGCCCTTTTAGTGATGGTTATATGAAAGTATACATCTGAGGATAGGTTCTTGAAGCTGTTTAACTGTTTAAGGACCAGTGATGGTCTACTCTACAGAATCTTAGTAACATGTTCTAAAATTCAATAATGGACCCAACATATGACCTCAGCGTTGTATGGAGCTGCCAAAGCAGGGCATTACATGGTGGCATACGGTCTTTAGAATCAGAATGTAAAGACAGCAAATTGAAACATTTGGTCCTTAAGGGGTTATGCCGTTAATTTGCAGCTTGCATGTTTGTCTTTCTTGTTATAGTTAGATTAGGAGCCATCGGTATTGGGGCATCGTGATCTACAATCAAGAAAAGAAAAATAGAAGAATTACATAATCTGTAGAGAGTGTCACTACTGAGACAGTGCAATATATCACATGGTTAACAGACAGACAAAATCAAGGACTGAAAACTGAGAGTAATCAAAGCAAAGGATGTACGAAAAAAAAGTATTTATACCCAGAGTATGGACAATATGTCACAGGTGCACGGGGCATCTTACAAAAGAGGGAACCGCTAAGATGGTGACACTGTCAGTTTATTTCATAGCAATAAAGGGCAGTAGAGTGATTTTTTTTAAGACTAGCTATAACAGATTGTTTAGTTATGCCGGTATTTAATATAAACCTCAGCTGAAACGCTAGACATAATGAGCTAAGAGGCTGGTTCTTGAATTAAAGGGACCCTATAGACACCAAAACAACTTTAACTTAATGAAGCAGTTTTGGTGTATAGATCACGCCTCTGCAGTCTCACTGCTCAATTATCTGCCATTTAGGAGTTAAATCACTTTGTTTTTGGTAATGCGGCTATAGCCACACCTTATATGGCTCTTAGTGTCCCTTTAAGGACTGGAGTTGAGTGTCAGGATGAAAACAAATCAGCCTAAATGTGATTGACCAAGACTTTCTGGTTATGGGGCACGCTCAACACACGTGTTCCTATATCCTAATGGCTATACGTTTTTGGAAGCCGAGATCTGAGGAGGAGGGATAGATAAGGTATATTCTTTGTGGCATTACATGCCACCTCAATATCCTTTTGCATAAGACTTCCTGAAGCAGAGAAAATTTGGTGGGATTTTCAAAAAATGTGAATGCAGTTATCAGGTGTTTTTGCACCATAATCCTGTTTTCAGTTTATTGTAATTATGGTTTGTTATAGGCATTTACAAGATGATATCTAAAGGGTCTAAGTATTCTAGGAGTCTGGGTCAGATTAATTCTCATATGTAGAAGAGGAGAGAATGAATCACAAGTAAAATTTATAGAATAAGGTAGCTGAAAATATATAAAGTGTTCAAGCTTTGGGAAACTACGGCCCTTTCTTGTGACTATTACAAGATAATCCAAGTTACTACACAGCATTAATTATGAGGAAATTCGTCCAGAGCATCACAGACACAGAGAAACACTGGTGCCAGCAGGAAACTCAAATTGCAGAAAACAATTAGTATTAGTTCTAACCATTCCATAACAGTGTTTTGTCCTCAAAGGGGCACTATAGTCACTAAAACTTTAGCTTAATGAAGCAGTTTTGTTGTATAGATCATGTCTCTGCAGTCGCACTGATCAATTCTTGCATGTGACTTACAGAGCCTTTCTAAACACTTCCTGTGAAGAGTCATCTAATGTTTATACTTCCTTTATTGCACAGTCTGTTTAATTTAGAATTTCTTATCTCCTGCTGCTTTTTTTTTTTAGTTTCTCTCCATTGCAGCTGTTAGCATATAGTACTAGATTGCTAGTAAACGGCCATCTCAATCTATCAAGCATTGTGAAATTTATTGTGGCTATATAAATAAATCACAATGAAATAAAATTACATATCCTGAACTTCAGAAAACGGTTATCCCATAGCTGAACTGTTTTAGCTGGCTGTCTGGGTTTGGATTCACAGAAGAAAACACAAAGTCTTCAAGTGTGTTTGGGGTTCCCTTTTTGAAGCGACACAGAGTGGGAGATGCTACCAGGGGAAAAGCCGTGCCAAGTGAAGGGAGACTCTGCATGAGCTACCTTTAATATCGTACACCAGGGAATATACAATTTCTAAGGATTTTTTTTAAGCCAAACTCGCAAATGCCTGAGATAGACAGCACGTTAATCTGTGGGTGTGATTGGGAAAGTCCAGCGGTCCTATCCAGACTGACATTTATACCTTAAGGCAAAAGTAAATTACAATGCACTGACATACGCCTAGTAAGGGAGAATCTTCAGAGTTGTCAAACATGTTAGCACTTTAAAAAGAAACAGAGCGTATTAAAGGGGAACTGTCAGTAACATTTTAATATTTTTTTCTAATAATATTATTTCTGTATTTTATTTTCCTGAAACAACCTTATCAAGTCCCTTCCTTCACACTGTCATTGTTTTCAGCAAGGCTTGGTTGGAAGATCACTTTGCTGGCCAAGTTTGTGTGTCTTCAGATCACAATGACCTCAGCCAGCTCAACTGAGACTGTAAAATTCTCATCTCAATGTGAATTCCCAGCAAGCCGGGCAGAACATAGTGATCTTGGGTCGGGTAAGCACTGCTTCTCACAAAAGAACACTTAAATAGCAGCTTTTTAAAGGAAGGGAACATGATAAACTGGTCACACATTTTGTTAGTTAAAGCAACACTCCAGACCCGTCAGCACTTTAGTTTGCTCAAGTGCTCTTTAGGTTGACTGCATATTAACCCACATTCATATTCACCTGGTTTTAGATTCACGTTGTTTCACTGAAAGGATAAAGTACATTATCTTTATTTTTTTTAAACTTTATTTATGAAGAGGCATCTGACATTTAGAGGTTTAACCCAATACAGCATGAATAAATGTGCAGGGCGAAGTTGCTAATCACAAATCAGAGCTATCTATTCACCGCAATGATGTCTCAGATTTGTACATGTCACAAGTAGAAATCTGATAGCAGAACTACAATGTTGTCATTAGACACTGCAGGTTAGGAGAGAGGTGCAAAAAAGGATTTGTGCACTTGTACAGGAACCAGCAAGGATGGATTTTAGAATAGAGGGGAGTACTTCGCCTATAGGTGGTGCTGACCCTGCATCAGAGGTCCGAGTACAAACAAACAATAGACGTAGGTCTTTGGCAGAGCGTAGAGGCCTGGACGGGACATACTTCAGTGAGGATAGGTAGGGGCAATATTGTGCAGAAATTTGTAAGCAAACAGAAAAACTGAAAGAGCGCTGGGAGAAGTAGGAGAAGAACCAGGAAAGTGCAGAGTCCCATAGAACGAGGTTCTGAAGGATGAGAAGAAGTTGTTGATGATCAACGGTGTTGAAAGCAGCAGAAAGGTTAAGGAGAATTAGGAGAGATTAGCGACCTCTGAATTTAGCAGAAATTAAATAACTGGATACTCTGGTCAGGGCAGTGTCGACAGAGTGACGAGTGCGAACACCATTCTGAAACAGGTCGAGCAGAGAGTTGGATTCAAGGAGGTTAGTCTAGCGTACACAACTCTTTTGAGGATCTAGAAGGTAAACGGTAGTAGCGAGATAGGGCGGTAGTTTGATGGGGAGTTAGGGCCAAAGTTGGGTTTCTTTAGAATGGTGGTGATGGTTGCGTGCTTGAAAGGTGAAGGAAATATGCCAGAGGGGAGGGATGGATTGATTATTTTAAGGCAGAGAAGGAGTCAGAGCTCGAGTGAGATGTGAGGGTATAAGATCAAGGTAGCAAGTGATGGGGCCGGAGGACCAAAGCAGAGCAGAAACTTCTGCTTGTGTAGCGCGTGCAAGTGGGTATAAAACAGAGGTGGGTGCAGGACTAGGGGAAATATAAGCAGGCATAGGACAGAGATTAGAGATTTGTTTTCTGATCATGGAGGATCTTCTCAGTAAAGTGCGTTGTGAAGTTAGTGGCTGTCAAGTTAGTAGGAGGAGGAGCAGCAACAGGACGAAGAAGACAGTTAACAGCATGGCTTCTTGG